GAATTTTCTATAGTACATGTGCATTTAGTACATGTATTCCTTTAAAACTTTACAGTTTACTGCTCAGCGCTTAAAAACTAAGTTAAAATTCTCATAAATTTGAAAATTAAACCACATACACGTAAAATTTAGCTAATTTAACTTGTGCCTATGAGCCTATCACTATATACATACTTTATCACTTGTGGAGTTTAACTTGTACGGTTTTCTGAAACCTTCCATTTAACCTTGTCCATAGACAGCGTCCACCCAGCAGATTAAGCAGGTTAACGGCCAAGAAGAGTCCCCGGCGTCCCCGCATCTGAAACCAACGCTCACTCCTCCCCCTCCACTCGCCCGCGGAATCTTCCTTCCTCCGATTCCCTCCTCCTCTTCTTCTTCCCCTCCTCCACCTCCGCGCCCTCCACCTGTTCGACGAAATATCCCACCCACCCTCCCCCTCTCGCCGCGCACCGCCGCTACTTATACCCGCCATTTTCACCTCGCCCCCCCGCGCTTCCCGCCACTAACATTCACTGACTTAGCTCGTGGTAGTTTGTAGTTTGGAGTCGTACTGCGATGCTCAGGGCGCTCAACACGCCGACGCCGCCGCTCCGGCTCCGCCCGGCATGCCGCGTCGCCTCGCAGTGTGGTGGGCGGCCGAGCACGAGGCGCAGGGGGGCCGGAGGCGGGCCGCGCAGGGCGGTGCCGCAGCCGCCCGTGCGCCGGCCGTCCGGGGACCGCGCGTGCACGCCGTGGCGCGGCGGGGTGGGTGCCGCGGCGCCGGCGCCGGTGACACCCGTCGCCGCGGCGGGGGCGAGGGATGAGCTGGAGGCGTTCTTGGAGGTGGTGCCGGCGAGGATGAGGCGCGGGCTGGCGCGGCACCCGGAGGTGAGGGAGCTGGTGGAGGTCGTCATGGACCTCGGCCGCCGGCCGCTCGCGCGGTTCCCGTCCGGGGACTGGGTGATCTCCGAGCAGGCCGTCACCGCCGATGATCTCCACCAGGCCGTCTCAAAGGTGTGGAGGCACCAACTAATTCACAAAGATTTTGTCAATCTTGAAATGGGCTTGAGCTCTACAAGTCTAGATCAATGATCATGATGTATGATAATACCTCAGTACCTCAGAATTTGCTAGATAGTTAAGGTCATATCAATTGTGATTTTCCCCCCTTTTGTGAATATGTTGTGTTTGCTCATTTTGAAGATCGGTGATTCTTGCAGGTAGGCGACTTCTCTGAAGACAACCGATCCGGGATCAACCACTCGTTGCACAGGATCAGCGCCATCCGGAACCGCAAGGCTCATATAATTGGTCTCACTTGCCGTGTGGGCCGGGCTATATCTGGAAGTGCAGAGATGATCCGTGATCTGGTTGTGGGAGGCGGTTCAATATTGGTGATTGGACCTCCAGGGGTTGGGAAGACTACTCTGATCAGGTATATCGCTAGTTAATGCTACTAAAATCTTGTAGATCAGGCAGTTTTTGTTGTCATGTAATTTACATCATAAGCTAATTTGGCACTTTAGTTGGAAAGTTCGAAAATAAGTTGATCAGTGTTGTGATATGATGCTAACAGTTTGAGATGCTTTCAACAATACAGGGAAATAGCTAGAATTTTGGCTGATGAGGGTAAGAAACGTGTGATCATAGTGGACACGTCAAATGAAATAGGAGGTGATGGGGATGTGCCTCATTCTGGCATCGGGCGTTCTAGGAGAATGCAAGTTCCCAAAGTTAGCATGCAGCATAACGTAAGTTTTCAATATTGTTTTATATGCTTTATATTATCAAAGAATTCCCTGAAAATTTTTTTGAATAAAGTTATCTCTTATTAGTGAAGTATAATGATATATAGGAAACTTTCTTTCTGTAGGTAATGATTGAAGCTGTTGAAAATCACATGCCGGAAGTTATTGTTATCGATGAGATTGGTACTGAGCTTGAAGCAATGGCAGCCAGCACCATTGCTCAAAGGGGTGTTCAACTTGTTGGAACTGCACATGGGGTGACAATTGAGAGCATAATTAAAAACCCTTGTTTGCAAGTGCTTGTTGGTGGAATTGAGGTACAGTTTTTTCATCAATGTTATCTATTCACTCATTGTTTGTATTCTGTTGAAGCATTTACTATCTTCTGCAACAGAGCATTAAAGCACCATTTGTTTCAGTTAATTTGATAGTGAAAATAATAATCATAAGTTCATTATACAGAGTGTGACTCTTGGCGATGAGGAGGCGAAAAAGCGTAAAGTTCAGAAAACAATTCTTGAGAGAAAAGGACCTCCAACATTTTCATGTGCTGTGGAGATGATTTCAAAGACTGAGTGCCGAGTACACCACAAGTTAGAGGCTACTGTTGATGCTATTCTTGCAGGTAATCATCGAACTCTTTACTCTTTAGATGTATAACACTCCTAAATCGACACCTCTTACATGAAGTAGAACATTTATATATATGTTCAGGTTTTCATGGCCATCAATTCATTTTTTATTTCACACTATTACAGGGAAGCCTCCTAAATTTGAAGCACGTAAGATGGATTACAAGGCTACTGAGTCAGGAAGATCGTTGGTGATACCTGAAAGAGAATATGAAACAGAACCCTTGCCTTCATACCAGGAACATCATTTTGCCAAGGCAATGCCATCCGAAGATAACTTCGATGATGATTTCAGCACCCGGAGAACAGAAAGCAAGAGTGTACCATCAAATGATAATTTCAACGATGATTTTGGCTCTACAAGAAAAACAAAAGGCAAAACATCTGTACCTGGAAAATCTCCAGTCCATGTGTACACGTACCAGGTAAGTTTGAGATAAAGAACATGAAGTTCTGGATTTTACCTTTTTATTATTGGTTATTGTATTCATGTAAAGACATATTAAATACATCATTGTTATATGACCTCAGTAACTAACAGTCACATCCTGGTTGGGAGCTCACCACTTTGCCTTAGATCGGCCTTGTTGTGGGCTTAGGACTGGTGCAATGCCCATGGCAGACATCAACTGCATGTTCTTCTATACTGTTTAAATTCTTTCTTAGGTTCTATAGTTCGCAGTATACATTTTTTTAATCTTGTTTACAATTGAATGCTAGCCCCTTAGAAAAAACATAACTTAGGAAAATCTTTTATTTGTTTTCTAGTACTTTGGTGTCCCCAACTATTAATGTTGAATGATATGGTTCTCCTATATTTTCTTATAACGGATGTTTGAGTTATACTATAATCTGGTTCCTGATTTAGTGAGAGATAACAAAGATCTATTTCTATTTTCTTCTTTCAGATTTCAGAAGCTGATATCTTGCAAGTAGCAACAGTGATGGGATTCGATGATGAATTAGATGTGACGGATGACATTGGAGCTGCCAATGTGATTCTTGCATCGAGTTCTGAGATGAAGCAGAATCACTGGATTCGCAATGTCGCCAAATACCACAAGCTTCCCATATTTGTTGTTAAGGTCATTGCTTGATCTTTGTATTTTGTGGTTTCAAGTGTCAAACTCTGTTATGCTCGTTTTAACATACTCGGTTTTACATTGGCACAACAGACAAACACAATGGCTCAGATAGTAAAGGCTGTTAGAATGATTGTTGGGAGGGATAAACTCAATGCACCAACACGCAAGCAGCCTAAGGTTGTGGTGGGAGAGATAGAGATTGAAGATGATGCTCCAAAGAGGAAGCCATCATTGGAGGAAATTGATGCTCTGGAGGTAATTACTTTGCCATACATTGTCTTGAAAAATAACTAAAACTATTTCAGGTTCCATGTAAGAAAAACTGATGCCATGTAGAAGTACTATAACTTATTGAAAGATGCAGCCTCTGTAGTACAGGAATTTTCCTAACAACCACATTTCATTCACTACACTCGCAGGAGGCCCGCCTCGCAATCGAGTACATTGTAATCCCAGGTGGAGAGCCCGTAGAACTCCTCCCAAGATGTTCAGAAATAGTTGCCCGGCAACTGGAGCTTGTTGAGAGCTACCAGCTCCTGGCCGAAACCTTTGGAACTGACTCCAACTCGAGGTTGCAGATTCTTCCGGTGAAAATAACCAAGAAGAGCTCAAGCAAAGGCAGTGCAGGATCGATGCCCAAGCAAGGCAGCTCTGACCTGATCGTCAGCGACAACGGAGGCGGCTCCAGTTTTTCTCGGCTGCCCTTTCTGCCGAAATGACCATTGCTAGATTGACACTCTGATCTGATCACCGTTGCCCCCAAACTGTACATCATTCTTCTTTCCTCTGCATTGTTTTTTTGTTGTACATAATACATACCTGTGCAGTGTTGTAAATAGTGTTTGAATGTTGAAGAATCGAAAGAGCAAAGCTAATTGTAATTGCCTTCCATTCTTTTACAGAAATAAAAATATCACATTTCTGGTGTCTTAGCCAGATTAACTCACAGTTGTACCCTCATTTTTGTTTGGCTGATGTTTACTAACGCTCTTTGCATTTCTTTTGTTTGGATACCCGGATGACAACGCACACACTGTTAGGCCTCCTTTGGAACACAAAAGTTCCCCGCATCACAGCAGTCAGCAGTGACATCTTCAATTTCCCAATAAAACGAATATTTTACCTTTACGAAACCCGTAAAACGAATATCTCATTATCTAAAAAAAATAAAACGAATATCAGTATTCTTGTATATATGTATGTAAGAAGCAAAAAAAAGAAAAAAAACTTTTTTTTCTTAGGAATGTCTCAGGAGTCTGCAGGAACATTGTTTTTTTATTCTTTGGAGAAATTCAGGAACATTGTTTATGTAAAGTAGGAGAGTAAACAGTGTAAGACCTTTGCTACGAAAGCAAAAAAAAAAAAAAGGTTTCTCAAAAAAAGAAAAGAAAAGAAAAACTCAAAGTAGAAAGAGGTAACGTACCACTCCCGTGGGCCGGACCAACACTCCTTCCCAAAAAAGCCCAAAAATATCCAATCGTCTCGTAAAGGGGGCTCAAAACAAAAAGGCCCACGAACCAATTTCGCATGTGCGACCCGTGCAGCCCATCTCACGACCATCTCTCTCTATATATAGAAAGCCCCAGATTTTTCTCCTCTCCTCCTCCTCGCCTCATTCCATTTCATCCCCTCCTCTCTCTCTCAAAACCCTAATTCCCCGACCCGAGCAAGCCCTAGGTCGCCGCCGCGCCGCGAGGTAGGTCTCGCCTCCCGGGAGCTCGCGGAGGCGCGAATTGGTGCCCTGATTGGTTGGTGCGCGTTTCGGGTTCTGAGGGGTTATTTGGTTTTTTTTTGGTGGTTTGTGTAGGTTGGAGGAGTTGGATTTGGGTCTGATTTGATTCGGATTGGGCGTGGTGGAGATGGCGGAGAAGGAGGTCGGGAGGATCTTCGTGGGCGGGCTGTCGTGGGACACCACGGAGCGCACGCTCGAGCGCGCCTTCAGCGAGTACGGCAAGGTCATCGAGACGCAGGTATAATGATTGAAATAAATTTTGTTCAAGCGGATGCGTGTGAGCCTCTTTTCGTGCGGGAGGATTGTTTTGTAGGGTCGAGGAACGAAGGTTCTTTTTGCTTAATTTTTGTCCAATTCTTCTGTCTGTTTATGCATCGCATGGTTCCTAGGCAATTCCTCATGGATTTCAATTATGGTTTAACTTATAACCTAGAGGTAACCTCTTGCTAATTTGTCTCTTTTGATGAAAAGATGGTAAGTGTGGTAGATCCGCTTTTTGTTGGCCCGATTATGTGATAAACAGAGTCCCGGACTATACCTTAACTTGAATAGAGTATCGATGAAAACCGTTTTTAGCAATCAATTAATTTTTCATTAATAAGGAAAAAAAAGAAGAAAAGTAGCAGTGGAACCATGTTTATTGAGATTCACGAAAAAGGGTAAACTGTTGCCTACCTGTTGGTAACTGATATATTAGGTTATTAGGTGGATAGCTAATAAAGTCCTATCGAATTCACGATTACAGGAATAAATGCTCTACGAAGCTTCCAAAGATGGAGCACAGGGTGTTTATTTTGTTTCTGCTTTTAGTAAATGCTCTTTTGGCTTTCTTCATTTTCATTCTAATAGCAATTATTGATTTTCAGAGCCTGCAGTCCCTTCCAGTTCTATATTTTAGGAAGTTAATGAAGTTGAAGGGAAAAGAAACACATTAATCAATTGGGCCCATGGTTATACATTTTCGGGGTGATGGGTTCAGTAAAAATCAATTTCAAGTATCCACACCGTTAGTCAATTGACAGCTGTGCTCTGTTTTGTGGGCAGAAGCAGAGATCTGTCTTTGCGATGCTAGTTCTGATAACTGATGTCAGCTTAAGATTGCAGCAAATGAATTATCATTGCTATTATTAATGAATTCAACAGAATTAAACATGACTGCGAGTGTGGATGTGACATACTGCAAAAAAATTCTGCATAATGGTTCTGGATCCGTTTTGATAAGAAAGGCAGAGGCAGATTTGTTTGAATCCTATGATTAGTCAGGTGGTACAGATGATGCTGATGAATGAGTGCTATATGCTCTTACATGCTTCTCATTTGCCTGGAAGACAATTATACGGTGCCTTGACATTGCCACTTCCTTGAAATGGACATGCTTAACTGTGCACGACAAAGAAACAGCAGAAGATAAGAATTAAGAATTAGTTTAGATACTGCAAGTATTTTGCCTTGAAGGTATATGGCAGACCCAACTAACATATGACCATGTTCTTATTAGAACTTCATCTGTAACTCCTTTCTTTGCGTCTGTAGTGCTGGCCAAATACTTGATCTTTGTGTCAGTTAGTTTGATGGTGAGCTTACCTGTTCCTGCAGCACATAAGACAAAGAAGCCTACATGTTGTTTTGGCAGTGTGCAGTGCCTACCGATATCCTCTAGACTCTGGCACATACTTAAAGTTCTGATCTGGAGATCACTAGCATACTGTACCATTGGGCAGTTAACAGATTTGAACTTCCATAGGGTGTTTGAGCAGTGGTAAAAGGGGATTTGCCTGTTATCCTTTCAGAGTTGTCTGAGATGGTTTGACTGGTTGCATGCATGAAATTTGCTTCAGCTGTTGTCACTTCATGTGTCCCAATTTGTATGTGCATGCCATTGTTAGCGTTTGATTTTTTAGGTTCATTATCATTACAGTTGCTATGTACCCATCAGTTCACTTTCATTGTATGTATAGGTCGTATTGGAAAGAGACACAGGCCGCTCCCGTGGATTTGGGTTTGTTACATTCTCAGAACCTCGGGCTGTGGATGCTGCAATTCGGGGAATGCATAATGGAGAACTAGATGGCAGAACCATTTCTGTGAACAAGGCTCAACCTAGGATGAACACTGATGATGGCTATGGCTATGGTGGTGGTGGTGGTGGTGGTGGTACTTACTCATCTGGTGCTAGAGGTGGATATCGTGGTGGAGGTGATGCAGTTCCCTCTGCAAATGATGACTGCTTCAAATGTGGCCGTGCGGGACATTGGGCTCGTGAATGTCCTTATTCCAGTGGAGGTGGGGGTGGTAGAACTGGAAGGTACTCACCCCCTTCCAGATATGGCAGTGGAACTGGTGGTGGACGTGGTGACCGCTTTGGAGGATCAGACCGTTTTGCTAACCGCTATGTTGATGACCGATATGATGGTGGGCGCTATGTTGATGATCGCTATGGTGGTGGTGGACGTGATCGATATGCCACTGATCGCTATCCACCAACTGCCGATCGTTTTACAGGTGACAGATATGGTGGTTCTGATCGTTATGCATCAAGTGGATTTACCAGGGAAAGAAGCTATGAAAGAGATGGAGGACGGTCCGGTGGAAGTTACTATCGTGATGAACCTAGAGGCTCTGGTGGTTATGACAGAGGTGGCATGCGCATGGGGAGTGGTGACAGATACGGGACCGGTGGACCTGCTCGCTTTGCTGGGAGTTACAGAGATAGGCCTGCCCCATATGATCGTCCCAGCCGGGCAGCAGCACGCACTTATGATGACCGCTACTGATGGAGGTTACTTCGGAGCATTGCAGAAGACCAGAATTACAAATATATGTTCCAGTTCGCAGTTCCTACTTTATTTGCCTTCCTGTATTAGTACATCGACTCTTTGAGTGTTGTTCTTCCATGCAGTTTGTTTAATTACTAGTGAGACAATAAGGCAGTTCTTGAATTGTTAGTATGTTGGCACATTAAGCTCCAGGCAGTGGGTGATTCTGATTCCCTGTTATCGTGGTACTGTGTAATTACCCTCCAGTGTAATAATCGTGTTCCGAGTGTGCTGTCTTATATAATTTTATTCTGGATAGCATTGAAGATTACTGTGACACATGTGGTTTCTGGAACCTGGATAGATGTTACATCTGCTGGAAAGAAAATTCATACTGTTCTTATCTGAAATGCTCATTTGGCATCAACATTCCGTAGTCCATACTACATCAGATTTGCTCTTTTCTGATAGATATTATGGGCTGAGTAGAAATGGTGTTATCAGGCCTTATTTTTGTGAAGACAGTGGTAATCAGTGAGGAATGTATGTCTGCTTCCAGTTTTAGATGAGAACAGTTCGTTGAGATCAGAAGGAGCAAACAGAATCATGTACATTCAAGCATATGAAATGCCACACTGCCAAGCTTCAGCTTCACGCATGCATCATTGAAGTAGTGAAGTATGCATCCCGCAAAACTGAATGAAGAAAAGCAGAATATCATGGTAGAATTTATTTCTAGTTGCCAGGTTCACATACTGGAGATGAGTACATGTACATCCGACAACAGCACATCCGAAACTGTTACAGCACCTGAAATTTATTAACTTGCTGGGTTGGCTACAATCCAGTGCCGTTCTAACTGTTTATTATTGTAAATCAGTTGAGTAGTGAGGCAGTCTCTCCCGCGATCTCTCTGTCCATAATGACTAACTTCTTCGCAATCACCATCTTATTCTCTCGAGGATTGTATTTACTGATTTGTCTTCTGTAGCTCGTAGTAACCTGCTGGTATATAAAATGAACGCTGGAATGATTAAAAAGCACGCTATTTTGTGTTGGTTGGTAGATGGCCGATGTAAGAACAACGGAAGACTTACCGTTTCCAGCTACAGGACGGACTGTGGGAGAACCTTGTAGGGGTTCAGGATTGAATTTGGGTCGAGCAACTTCTTGATGGAAGCCATCAGTTGCACCTGGCAACATTAGAACATTAGTTGCACAATTAAATGGCAATACATAGCTAGAGCTTAATGGAGAATTCAATGTCAAAGTTAGGTTGGTCAAGTAATGCACAATGAGGATTACTCTGAAGAAAACAAACAAACAGGCCCTAAGCAGGACGAACAGCCCTTAATTGAAGTAGTTTGCCAACATAAATAAGCAGTCCATGGTGACTTATTGTTCACTAAGAAAAAAAACATAAATAAGCAGTCCATGATGACTTATTGTTCACTAAGAAAAAATGCAGTTCATGCTTGCATAAAATTCTTCGAGACAGACCTTCCACACAACGACTTATTGGTGGATGCCAAGTTGGAAGGTAACACGTAAGGACTTACTGCCTCAGATGACTTGCTGTAGTGAATCTTCTCGGCTTTCATTAGACCCAATCCATGCTCTGCACTAATGCTCCCTCTCTGTTTGGAGGTCCACTCGTAGACAAATGGTTCAATTTGTGCCAGCATCTAACATTTTCAGTAAAGCACCCAAAATAAGCAGGCTGTCCACAATCTTGAGATACCGAACTAGCTTGACTACATCTAAATTAAGTTACGAACCACACCTTGTCGCTGTACTTTGTTGATAAGATGTTCAGATGCAGGTTCCCATCACCAAGGTGCCCATAGCCCAATACTTGTCCCATATCACCTACAAAAGAAAGGTAATCAGTAGCTTATACACTATTAATGGCACAACCAAGTAGACAATTACCAACACGGCTGCGCATTTCTTCAACAATATCATATAGCTTCTCTACGGGTATGGACAAGTCATACTTGTAGACAGCCCCAACTTTGACGGATGCTTCTGATATACCCTACAACAAAGACATACTAATTTCAATGATTTTTGCCCATTATTAGACTGATTACACGAGCAATCTTAAAAGGTGAGGACATTTGATACAACTAACTTTGGACCTGCATTACAAGGTGGTAAGGACGTAAGGTTTCATTTGTTTATTAGATGCTTCAACTAAAGAGAAAAATTACACATAAGGCTAAACATATGATCACCTCACGAATTCTCCAAAAATTAGAGGCTTGGCTAATATCTTGTGCTATAACTCCATCAGCTACCAGGCCATCTTCCATTGAACGCAACAAAAAAGCTTCAAGTTTGGCTCTACAAAAGAAATGCAACATAATGACTGGATGATAGCACCTCTGCGATGTGGAAATCTACATAAATTGTTTTCCAGCATAGCTGCATTTATGTTATTTCAAGTAGAAATAGTAAATGTCAGTTCATAATGACTGATATGTTAAAAATTCAAACTAGAATATGCTCCACGGACCATTGGCTTATACACTCAGGACCACATTTTTCTCAAATCACTTTCTTTGCAGCCCAAAAAGCACTAAAAGAAGAGAAAAAAGACACCCTACACCTTGATGAAAGTCTTAAATAGATCAAAACGTCACAGGAAGAAAACAACCAAGTTAAATTGCAGTAGTGTTCTCCTAAAGATAAAATCAGTGGTAACTTAGAATTAGCAGTAGCAACTACTGACATTGTTAGTTTATTACGGTAATAAAGAATTAGCTACAAGAGCTTACTTACTTATCATATGACTCATCACTTCCTGTCGTCTCGATTAGAACATAAAAATTGAACGGTGATACAGGTAGAGGATTGTGAACTCCTTCCAAATATTTCATAGCCTTCAAAACCAAATAAACTATCAAAAGCCAATCTATATACACAAGCATACATGATTAGTGAAACGTATTTCTTATGTAGAGCAACACAATAAAGAAGCGCAAGTAGTTTCTTCTCGTCTGCTAATTGCATGAATAAGGAACCCAATATATAATAAATTACATTAAATTGATCAAAATTGGTAATGAACTCACAACTTCCCTACTTTACAGAATGTCAACATGGGACTTAAAATGAATATATAAACATATTTGCATGTAATTTCTTCTCTATGATGTGTACTATGCGTAAAAATTTGCTCATGTAAGTACCAGATTAATACAATGACGATCCATGAACTCAAATGCAGAGAGAATCTCACCCAGGCTCCTCCTGGCTGCCAGTAATAATTTCTGGATACACAAACAGTAAGAAATCACTATCTTCAAGATCACATACACATGAAGATAAAGGGCAAACAGAGCCTAGAAACGAACCGCCTATCCAGACCTGACAGCTTATGTAGTCATTGCAGGAAAGAAATGCAACATTAGTTGATGGTAGCTTTGCAGGAGTAAGTATTGCAATTTTAGTGACAATTCCTAGTGAGCCTTCACTTCCTGAACAGCTGGAATTAGTTAGTGTATTCATTACTAACCATTGAAAATAATCAATGTAAGCATATAGAGAACAGTTGAAAATAGTTATTGTATCCAATACTAACCAATAAATAAGTGCTTCAGATCATATCCAGTGTTGTCTTTCCTTAAAGTAGTAAGCATATCGAGAACAGTTCCATCGGCCAAGACAACTTCAAGACCTGAATAGGACGAAATAACTCAAGGATCTCCTCACAGTTGTCTTTAAAAAAAAGATAAACGTGCAGAAATTTTATACTTGCAAATTGCAATTCAAAGTCTTAGGGGATGGGTGGAGGGGGTTCTCTCCAATCCCATGCTGCCATGCATCAAGAACTTGTTTCAATTGTAAAATAATTTAGAAAAGGATATTTCTATAAGAATAACAGAGAGAGAGAGAGAGAGAGAGAGAGATTATGAGGAACATAAAAACCCCTTTCAAATGGAACAAAGGGACAGCAAAAGTTCAAAATACAACTAGCACTAGGAAAAAAAAAGGAAGGAACTACTTTAACTTACCAAGTACACTTCCATGAAGTGAACCGTAACGTATGAAACGTAGGCCACCGGCGTTAGTTGAAATGTTGCCACCTATGTGACAACTACCTTTTGCTCCCAGGTCAAGCGGCATAATAAACCTGAATAAGTGATAGAGTATCTTGAGTTTTCTTTCCTTGCAATAAAAATAATCATAGATGGATCTTACAAAAACACATACTGGAGTAACAAGAATGACAAAGGTACTGACAGTGGCATACCACAACCATCAGTTGACTATGAGCAGACTAATGAGTATGTGTGAGTATTATGAAATCCAACAACTCAAAATAGCCAACAATATATTTATGAACATAAGAAATCCAGTGAACATAATTTCAAACAAAATAATAATGGAAATAAGACAGGTTACCCCTTATTTTCCACATAGGAGCTTAAATTCTCCAACACACAACCAGCTTCACAAGTAAGAATACCATTTACCTACAACATATAATAGCCATGCTCAGAACTTGACAGCTGCTACGTGAAATTTTTCTGTGATTGCTCATAACAATGGATAGATAACATCAATCTCAAAAAACCAATCGATGAGCAGATCACAGAATTCAACATATTGAATACAAACTGTACCAAGTACCAACATTGTCAAAGGTTATTATTTTGTCCATACCACCAAGGCTGATGATAACCTGCAAACAAGGGGGGAGCACTTGTGATCTCAGGGCTTAAACATAAGAGCAGTAGTAAAACAGAGAATGCAATTGAACTGAAAAGGAAACAAAGATGTAATTGATATGCATGTTACATCGACAAGTATAATAAGAGATTCTATAAACTGGATTGAATTTTGTTATCAATGAAGTAAAGATAATATTAATCACAAGAATGGAAACTGAATGAGTTCAAATAATATATACTGTGTTTCTAAAAATCTAATAGATCATGCAAAATAAACAGTTCATCATGTGTCACAGTACAGGACAAAGTAAAAAGATCACCAAGGCAGCATCAGCAACTGAAAGCAATTCGATAGAAGTAGGATAAATCCTAGAGAAACAAGAAAACTAGCTGAAGCAAATTCGGACCTAAAATAATTACCAAATAATATATCTTATCATTAAACAGAGCTTGTGCTTTATAGTTACCTCATCATAAACAGGCACACTGCCACCTACAAGACCTGTGTTCCCACCCTGAGGGACCACAGCCAATCGTCTGGAGTTGCAATAAGAAAGGATCTTAGAAACCTGGAATAGAAGAATGGTTTAATAAACAATCTGAACATGAATTTTGTTGCGTCTGAATCTTAATACAAAGATACGCAAGTCTTAAGCATATTCCCCCAAAAAAGAAGATTTCTTTTATTGTGTCTAACCATGAATAGAACTGAACTAGAATAAGGGAGTGTTTGAAGAGAAGGGGATTGAGGAGATTGGGAAGATACGCAAAACGAGGTGAGCCATTAGCTCATGATTAATTGAGTATTAACTATTTTAAATTTCAAAAATGGATTAATATGATTTTTTAAAGCAACTTTCCTATTGAAATTTTTTGCAAAAAACGCACCGTTTAGTAGTTTGAAAAGCGTGCGCGCGGAAAACGAGACACAATCTCTCCTATCTCCACCTAAAGAACACTCCCTAAGTGAGCTGGAGAAAAAAGGAAAAATACCTCCGCAGTACTTTTTGGTAAAAGCAATAACTGACTTGAACCCTTGTATTTACCCATCCAATCCATATTTGCAACTGATACTCTGTCTTCATCCTGAACCACACCACTATCACCCAAGATACTCTTAAAGTAGGAGACATCATCAGAATTCAGCACTGAATATGCAGGATTCCTCTGAACGTGTGCTGCTGCAGAACTGAATGAACGCTTCTGGACTTCAAAATTCATGCGTGCGCTTTGTTGTGTGTCATCTGTTTCCACATTAGTCCTGAATCCATACAAAGAGCGTTGCTGACCTTGAATCGAATAGAATCTGCTAAAAGCATGGTTTGCGGCTCCATATTGTTTAGGATACATGCCTAGAAAGCAACATTGATCATAATATTTCAGGTAAAAGCATCTCATGAAGTTGCAGGTATCATCCAATATATTTATTGCAACTCAACTTTGGAGTTTTAACAAAGCATGGAAACTAGTGATTTTCTGTCTGATAAAATAAATTATAGGAACAAAAATGCTATAAAAATAATTAAATTGTACAAGATTATTTAGGAAATCTCAGAAACCTTAATGCTTTCACCATGTCGAAAACTAGTTGCGAACCTACTTCAGCTAGAAAGATTGGAGCATGGATAGTGCAAACAAGGATATGCGACTGTTTCAACATAGAACTATACAAAGGCAATCGTACTTGCATTATTTCCAATGGATGTGATGCCATATATACACATTTTTACCAAGACATTTAACCAGCGAGAACAACCTCTCCAAGCCCATATACACAAAATTCGAGCTAATAAAACACACATTATAATAGTTTCTAGTACACAATGTACACTTAACTACTTCCTTATACCAAACTAGAATCCGGTCGCAAACTAAATCCCATTTAAAACAACAAAACACACCCGAGATTTTTCTCCTCGAGACTAAAGTGAAATCATCCGAGATCACCAACCACCAACTGCTGTTTCAGATTTACAGCGTATGTGTTGCTGCAACTCAAAGTTAGTAGTTCACAGCAGTTCACGAACCACTACCACTCCCCAGTCCTCACTTCCCCGCACCACACACACAGCGAGCGAGCGGCCATGACCGACCGGATCGTTCGAACCCTAGCAGGGAGGGGGGGAGAGCGAGAGGGTCATGGGCAGGCGAAGAGCAAATTAAGCCAATCTCACCTCGCGCCTGCAGTGTCTCGCCGGCGGCGAGGGGCCCCAGGTGGCGGCGGAGGAGCCCCGCCGCCGCGCGCCTCGCCATCCGCGCGCCCTCGGAAGGAGGAGGGAGAGGTGGTGGTGGGGGGAGCGAGCTCGAGCGTCGAGGGCAGCGCGCGCGGCGTCTCTGCCCCTCTCTCTCTCGAAGAAGAAAACAAGGAAGTGAACGCTGTGGAAGAGAGAGAGAGAAGAGGCGTACGGCTTTGTAGCTTGTCCAGCTGGCATGATCTACTAGCTATTGTGTCATTCTGACGTGTAAAGCCCTTATCATTACTACTAGTACTACTCTTTTCTAATTTGATTGATTCTATAGTTTACCCGGGGACAGTTGGTCTCAAAATAACCAATTCCTATGTTTTTTTAAAAAAATTTACCTACTACTACTACATAAAAAAACGAATTTCTAGCTATAAACCTAGACACATGTGTGTCTAGTTTCGTAGATAGAATTAGTTTTTTTAGACGGATGGGATACTTATTAATTAATTGTGCACTATTTAGGTGCCTAGGAAGGGCCCCAAACAAACATGGCCTTATTTTTATTTTATATATAGAGTATCTTAAGATTAAAGAGTCGAAAATGACACTCCTTCCGTTTTATATTACAAGTTGTTTAATTTTCTTCTAGTAAAACTTCTTTAAGTTTGGTTAAATTTATAGAAAAGTATATTAGTATTTACAACACAAAATAGACATATTATCAAAATATATTAAATGTTGAATTTAATTAAACTAATTTAAAATTTTTAAATGTTGTTAATTTTTTCTATAAACTTGATCAAACTTAACAAAGTTTGACTAGACAAAAAGTCATACGACGTATAATATGAAACATAAATAGTATTAAACTGGTTGGCTTATAGTCATAGCCGAATTTAAATTTTAAAATTGTTGATTTTGAGTGTTTTTATAGTAGTTAGTTTTTTTAACATTTCTTTAATTGCTAATATCACACATCAAAAGAATTATCTATAAATAATTATAAGCCATAGTGCTTATTACAAGCAGTTATTATAAACTGCGGTCCGGGTTCTAATTGTTTTGCCAACAGAAGATTATAATCCGTTTAGTGCAAACAAATAATTTACGCCACTAATAATGTTTTATGTGACATTTGATTATTTATCTTATCAAAAAGTGTTGCTTATTTTGTTGTGACTTACCTTATCATTAAATGAACTTTATGCATGATTTATATTTTTATATATTTACACTAAAATTTCAAAAAGATGAATGATTTTTTTAAAAAAAAATCAACGGCGTAAGACAATCCAAAAAATAAACTATTTCCTCCGTTTTATATTATAAGACTTTATTGGCATATATGCTTAGATTCATTAACATTTATATAAATATGGACAATGCTAGAAAGTCTTATAATCTGGAACGGAGGGAGTACGATGACAAATATTGAAATCAATCTGTACGAGAGCTCGGAATCGCTGAAGTCCGTCGAGCTCGTTCTTGCGTGGATCCGGCCCTGACTCGGAATAAGCGAGATACACATATATATTGCATCTGGTCGATTGTTTTCTACCTTATATTTCTTCGTCTTCCTCTTGATCGAGAGATAACAGTGTGTGAGAGCGTACGTACTGTGAGGCGGCAGCATGATGATGACGACCCTTATCGCCCCGATAATCATCGCCGCCGCGACTACGCCGTCGTCGGTGCCATCATTGTCGCCGTCGTCTACGCAGCTGCCGCCGCCCCAAGTTATCGCCATCGCCGTGGCGCCACCCATTTGTCACGTTCTATGGGCCGGGCTTCGAGCACTGGGATTTGGTCTAGGCAAATAGGGTGCATACTTTTAAAAGAGAAGGCAACAGCAACAGATGGGGCATCGATAAAGAAATCAACACAACTGAAGCCAAGGCTTCTTCCTCCTCCAATTTCCTCTCTTCTCTTTGTTCTTCTAATCCTAGGCTCTGCTCTCTTATTCCCAGTCCCCTGCTTCTCTTCCCAATCTACATTGCTAATTCCTTCCAATTATATCCAAATTACTTGAGTGATTAATGCTGTGAATTATCGGTTGCTTCCGGTGTTGGGCATTGATCGGTGGGTGGGTTGAGGATCGTAACATTATGGTATCAGCCACCGATCCGTGGGATTCCAAACAAGGACACTATGTGGGGGACACGGGATGGAAGGGGCGACCTCTGGGAGCGGGATTTGAGCCATGGAAGTGTTGGTGCTAGTGGTGCCCGCCAGGTGTTCGGTGAAATGCCGAGCTGGCTGGGAGGTGGCGCAGGCGCTACTCTTCGTGTCTAAGTGAGTCAAGTCCTTTACCCAGTGACCGGCGAGGTACTGCATCAAATTTATAACACCTATGGAGCGGTGGTGGTGCAGGTCCTCACCACGAGCTCTTAGGGTGTTGAGGCTTTCGTGTGGTTCCGGTCATGCTGTGATGCAGAGATGACTCTTTCTGTCACCAATGGACGCAACATCTATGATGGGTGTTACCTGCTTGATGTCCAGCACGTGCATCCTTTCAACGGGAACGGTGTCGACATGACGCCCACCAAGTGTTTGACGTTGGGACCAAGCAGCATCACCACTAGGCCAGCAGTTGAGAGTTCTCTTGCTGCACCAGAACATGTGTTTCCAGCCACTATGAACTCATCCACACCCTCAACTACCGCAGCTGCTATTGCAACACCGTCACCATCCATCAAAACCAACAAAGCCGAGGGCGACATGGCTCAAGTTGAGATGAAACCAAAGGATACATTCCAGGAGTTGTGTGCCAAGATTATTGCCACGCTCAACAACATGCTTGTGACATGCCGCAACATCAAGCTTGAGTCAATCACGAGCGTTGGTATCACCAGAGTGGTGACAGCTAAAAGCACCAACACTAAATCTGTCCCCAACACATTGGAGGTCAGTGATGAGGCCAATTCAATCAGCTTGGTTGATACTAATGAGTTCTACATGGTGACAACTACCAAGTGTTTGACGAAAGGCAATGAACAAATGATCAATGATGATGACGATGACATGGCCACCGAGGATTTAGTTGAGCTCACTAAAGTGAATTCCAAGTTCACACTACTGCAAACAGGTAGCTCTCCACCAGTATCACCTTGGAGAGCGGCAATTCCATGGTACAAAGCTGAGATGACCTTAGGTTATCGTCCTTTACCATGGCATGATCCATGGTTGAGTCAAGACAGCGGAAGCGTGGTGATGACGAAGCTCTTACATCCCCAGCAACCACCTTCTCAAGCAGAAGTTAAAGCTGAAGTTGGAGCACTACAATTATTTGGCTGTGTACACTACAAGAAATTCCATTGAGGTTGATTGTCAAGGTGAGGCTTCAAAGACACCGATTTCAGAGAGGACGTGTTATATTGAGTTGAGGCCATGGCCACCACCTTATTTCCTGCTAAATGAGGTGATCAAGGAAGTATTGGAGATATGTCATCAAGTAAATATGAATGGGATTTCCAGCTATGTATGGGAGAATATTCAAGGACTATTAATGCTGGATGATCAAGTCTTTCAAAGCTCGACACAGTGGCAATCTGCTATGTATAAGGAAATGAACTGCTTGGAATTGTTGATTGGATTAGAGCTATTGCGTGGACAAATACATTCTTGTTGGAGGGAGATGGCTCAGCTGAAAATACCATGGACACCTCCTCTTAATGCATGTGTTGTTACATTACTTGCGCATGCTAGAGAGAGTTTTTCATGCAAGTGCAAGATCAAAGGAAGTTATACTATCGTGGGGTTATGGAAGCATGAGTTCTGGCAGGTAATCAGGTGTCAACAGAAGAGTGCAATTCCTCTCTTAGCTGGCAAAGTGCATAATTGGTATAACCTCAAGTATTCTTGGTCGCGTGGAACTTTTATAGAGGTTCAGGATTCAGTTTTCACTCTCTGGTCTGCAGAGTATAATGAGCTCCAACTAACAATACATGCACTCAATCCATCCTTTTGCTCCAGTTCAGTAGTTGTGCCAATGGTGTGGTTGTGTAGCAGATTCCTTGAAATATTGATGGCTTTCCATGACAAACGACAATTCTTATTGGTGAAGACTATGGCATTGTTTGGAGATGCTGCAATTTGGACATTACAATGTGAGTTTCTCTCTAGTGCAGTATTGCAATGTCTACAGCCTACTGTGAAGACTAGTGACTGGTATACAAAGAGTTGCACATATTCATGGGTATCACTGAACTCCAAGTTAATTAATCTGAATGAAGTGATTCCAGTTGACATGTTGCAGCTACCAACTTCAGATGAGGAGTTTGTAATATGGCCCAGACCCATTGGATGGTTTGCAACAAGTAATCAGTTTGCCAATCTCGGGTTGGGCTATTCTTCTTATCATCTAGTCAGGGTAACAACTAAGATTGTTTCACTGAAGAAATCTTGGTTGTGGGAAATTGTTGAGGAGCATTCCAAACCAGGACCACAGGACAAACATTGGAAAGGCAGGATAACAAGCTCTGGGAGTCACTGTTGCTTAGTGATCCTGATACACTATGCTCCTTGCAACTAATATGGGATTCTGGAGGCATCAAAGGCATCGGCTTGGGGACAAGCTGAAACTAAAGGAAGGGAGAATGTCACGTTCTATGGGCCGGGCCGAGCACTGGGCTTTGGTCCAGGCAAATAGGGTGCATGCCTTTAAAAGAGAAGGCAACAACGATAGATGGGGCATCGATAAAGAAATCAACAGAACTGAAGCCAAGGCTTCTTCCTCCTCCAATTTCCTCTCTTCTCTTTGTTCTTCCAATCCTAGGCTCTGCTCTCTTATTCCCAGTCTCATGCTTCTTTTCCCAATCTACATTGCTAATTCTTTCCAATTGTATCCAAATTACTTGAGTGATTACTGCTGTGAATTATTGGTTGCTTCCGGTGTTGGGCATTGATCGGTGGGTGGGTTGAGGATTGTAACACCGTTGCCGTCGATGATGACCATCCACCGGCCGTTCCACGCCGGCACCGCCGGAAGTTGGGCGAGAAGATACACTCGCTCCTCTGCTGCGTCTCAAGCGCAGCAGCATGAACTAACCATGAATACTTCACTTGTTTTCTGTAGCTTAGCAATAGCATGCTCAGACAAGCTAGGCGTTAACCCTACAATTTGAATTCAGTGTTTTTGCCATGCTAATCCATTCGATTTCTCAATGAATCCTTGCAAAAAAAAAAAACCTGAATGATGACAGGGCACAA